GTTGTTATTATTATTATTATTATTGTTATTATTATGATTATTATTATTATTCGTGGGTTATCTAAGGAAAATGTCGTAGGTAACGTTACCGACAAAAGATTTCGTAGATAACAACTTTCATGGTTTATCTACGGAAAATTCCATAGGAAACGTTACCTATGGAATTTTTTGTAGATAACCCATGAAACTTATTATTATTATTATTATTCATGGGTTATCTATGGAAAATTTCGTTGGTAACGTTACCTATGAAAAATTCCGTAGATAACAACTTTTGTGAGTTATCTACGGAAAATCCCGTAGGTAATGTTACTTACGGAAAATTTCGTAGATAACTCATGAAAGTTGTTATCTACAGAAAATTCCGTAGGTAACGTTATTTACGGAAAATTCCATAGATAACACCTTTCGTGGGTTATCTACGAAAAATTCCATAGGTAACGTTACTTGTGGAATTTTCCAGAGATAACAACTTTCGTGGTTATTTACGGAAAAAATTTCGTAGATAATATTTCGTAGATAATTAAACATTATTTACGGAAAAATTTCCATAGGTAATATGACGTAGATAACTAAAAGTTATCTATAGAAAAAATTCCGTAGATAATATTCCGTAGATAACTAAATATTATCTACGAAAAAAATTTCATAGATAATATTCCTTAGATAATAACAGTTTTTCTTGTAGTGTAGAGACTTGAAGCTATAGCTGTGAGCTCATAGCTAGAGCCATGGAACACTAAGGATTGAGAGAGAGCACCAGAGAGTCACAGCAATAGCTGTGAAATTCACAGCTACAGTGTTGGAGGTTCCTTAAGCTTGAAGGAGTTTCTATAGCTATGATTTTGAAACCACAGCTGCAGCTGTGAAGCTTACTTCACCTTGAAGGAGTTCCCATGACTATAGCTGTGAAACTACAGCTGCAGCGGTAGGCTTAAAAATTACAATTCCTCCCCTGTTTTGAAGCTGATATAAAAAGAGAAATGAAAGAACTTTTGGGAGATCATGAAATAGAGAGCAAAAACAGGATTGAGAGCACGAAGAGGAGAAAACAGGGCAGGAACGAAGACTTGGAAGTTGGATCCTTTAGGAACGAAGATCAACTCCTTTTCTTCATCTTTTACTTTGTAATTTCTTCTTCCACTCCTCTGATCTTGTAATGGCCATGTGTGGCTAAACCTTTTGAAGACTGGTCTTGGTATAACTACTAACTCTTCTATTTCTTAAATCTATATATGCATTTCATCCTCATTACTTGTGCTTGATTCTACTTTTTAATGCTTATATCGGCTTGATCACCCGTTGTATGAATTTTTTGTTTTTGAATCTTGTTGGAAAACGTTTTTGAAAACCTGAACTGAATCTTGCACCTAATCATCTTTTGTTCTAGGAATAGACTTGATATGGTTAGTCATTGTTGTTCAAATCATTGTTCTTAATGCAAAGTGTTAATCTCAAAACATAGAGGAATCATGTTTTAGATTAATCACTTTAAGATTCAACTTTGAGGGATCTTGTTGAATTTTTAAATGAACGTGGAAGTCATGAAGTTGAAATCATATTTATTTTAAGAAAATTTAAGAGTTAGCAAGTGCTCCATGGTCCAATCCTTGTTGCATATAATTGTTATTATAACTTTTACACTATCGTTTCAATTTTACTTCACATTAGTTCACTTCTAATCATATCAACATCTCTATATTAATCATTAGAGTAAGAATTACTAAACTCACAAATTCCCGAGGACAATACTGTATTTCTAAAACAAAACTTGGTCCACTTGAGTGGAGTGATCCCAAAACCTCATCATTCTCTCGGTTGATTGGTTAGCTCTTCATTAACAACAGATAAGAGCTCCAAGTCTTGAACTTGTAAAAGTTGATTGATTTGATGCTTGTCTCTTATAAAATTGTGTAACACAAAACAAACATTAATAATTCTTATTTGTCTTTATATCGAAAAATGAAGGAGTTCTTAATATACTTCATCTTTTTTTCAATATTCCAAAAGATCTTTTTATTACATTTTGTGTACTTGAATAACGAAAATTAAATAACTCTTTGAAATTTTGAGGAGTGTTTCCAATCCACTTATGCATACGATTTCTAGTCCCTCGATATGGTGCTAACAATCTTGGACCATTAGTATATCATGCATCCACAAGAAAGTACTTACAATTTTTTAAAATAAAAATCACAACCTAGAACTAGATAAAATTAAATAAAATACTATTTACATGATATATTACCAATCGGAAGTTCAAGTTTATTTTGATAACATAAAGTATATCATAATACTCGAGAATCTCCTATTGACCCTTCCCACCTAGGTAAATGAATAAATAAACCTTAAATCTAGACCACATGATGTTAACACATTTGTAGAGACATCACCCTTTTTATTACGCTATTTAGGCTTATCTTCAAGAGAAACTGTTACTAGAATATATGACCCATCAAGTGCTTCAACACATTTCTATAAACAACACAAGTTTATTCATATATTTAGTTTCTAAAAAAGGTTTATTATAAGTTTGACTAGACTTACAATTGATATACTTACCTCAAACCATCTCCATTTGTTTTCTTCTAGACCTTTTAGATAGGTACGTATGGAATTTTAAATAGTCTGACTCACTTTCATTACAACTCTCAAGACATTATTAAATTGCTTGTTTATTATTTCTTTAGATCTATAGTAACTAAAACCTACTACTCTATATACTTTAGGTTGTGAGCAAGGATATGTAAGAACATTGCTGCCGCTTCAGTTATTGACACATTTTTTGTTCTTACCAGCCCTCTTTCTTGTAACGTTCTACAAAGCTTAAAAAATGCACTCTTATTGAGCCTTAATTATTCAATGCAATTTTTTTTTTCTGTCCTTCTATAAAGACGATTAATGAAATTACGCCGCTCCAATTCTTAATTATGAGCTGGTTTCTTAACAAATTAAATTTTATAATACCATGCTACTACACCCATAAACATATAAATCACACAAGCAACAACAAATATGATTATCTCCTTAAACTCTTCTATTTTACATTTTCTTGAAGTAATTATAGTATTAACTATGCCAACATCCATTTTTCTCGATCTACACCATGTGAAATTGATCTGTTTCACACGAAAAATCTTAACCCCATGGCCAATCCCAAATTGTTCTCCACCCTAGTCATGTCATGTATGCAAACGACATTTTTATCTTCTACAGAGACACTTCAAGCAATATCATATCTCTTTTGAATCTGTTTCATGAATATGGCTCCTCTTTTGACCAAATAATCAATAAAGACAAATCCATTTTTTTCCATGGCAATATGAACATAGGAGAGTGGTTGCTATTGTAGACCTTTTGGGATTCAAAGTAAGCATTTTGCCTTTTGACTATTTAGGGGTTCCTATTTTTAAGAGCAAGCCTCGAAGAATTCATCTCAAGCCTATTCTTGACGGGATCAAGCACAAATTGGCGGCTTGGAAGGGTAAACTCCTCTCTTGATGGATAGAGTTCAACGAGATAATATACATAAATATATATTAATGAGAAATATAAGTGAAAAATATCTAAGTAAAAATTAAATTATGATTAAAGAACAATAACAATTATATGTAAAAATTTCTACTTAATATCTGTAACTTAATTAGGATTGTTCATGGTTATGATTTTTATAAGAAGTTTAAATTAAACTGATCTATTTTATAAAAAAAAATCCTATTAATTGAATTTTAAAAGTGGATTGGTTGATTTTTTTAAATGGATTACATTTATAATTGAATCAGTGTCTGGTATAATTTGGCTATCAATTTTATAGTTATATATGAATCTTTTTGTTTTATTTTAGAAAACTGAATTAAATCACGATATTCACTATAAAAATGAATCGATTAACTATACTAATCAATTCGTCATTTTTTTTATAATTGATTGGAATTTATAATCTTAATTATGTTGATTTTGGATCCCTTCAGATAGTTCGATTTTTTTTTTCCTCTCCTAACGTAAATCAAATAAAAATGAATTTATTTCAATTTAACTACGATCTCATTAAGGGAGAAAATTTTCCACCATCAATATATCGGATTAGAGATTATCTCAGAATACATGTGATACCTAAAAAATGTGTCGCGACTCTGGACTTGCATGAGCAGCTTCCCAATCCGCGTGTCATTGACTGCCAAGTTGTGGTTTCACTTTTATTTGGATTAACAGAGGGACAGTGAAATGTTGCATGGACTTTGATATGTGGAGATTCTGACCTGGTGACTACAAAGTAAGATTAACATCTTAAGGTTAACTTGACGAACTATTCAATAATTTAAAATTAGTAATGTTACAACCAATGCTACTTAACTTTAAAATAAGCAGAAATTTAGTTATGAGAGGTGTTTAATATATCACTAATTAACAGCATTCAGCTGAACATGCATGAATCCATCTTGTTCTCATTATAGTTTGTTTAAACACAAGGTTGATTTGTTTTACAAGCAGCATCAAATGATCAATTGTTGAAGATAGCATATCTAAATAAATACTGTTTTAATTTATTCCGTCGTCCCAAACTCTAATTTCCACCTAAGTTATATATTTTGGTTAGTAAAATTTTCTTCCTATTAATTAAAATGTCGAAAAGGAATGGATATATACAAGGCAAACATATCTTTCACACCGAGAGGCCGAACATTGAACATAATGTGAAAAAAGACAATTGAAATCTGTGAAACTGCAAACAGGTTTCAGAACTCGAACCAGTTCACGGATTGTACTGAACGAGTCACGGAGTCACTCTCGAAATCAGAAAAACCCCAACAAAACTCCAAAAACTCTAATTACCTCTCTCTCTCTCTGTCTGTCACCTAGAAGAAGCCTTGGTGGATGGATGTTCAACGTACATGCTGCCATGTGTAATATTTACCAGCACCATGCTGAAAATTTTATTCTATATTTTTCAATGAAAGCTTAATTAAACCCATACAGAACCCATATATATATACACTGTATACTAGTCTAGGAATATCAAACCAATACATAGAAAATCAATAAGAAGAATTTAGAGACAGAAAGTCATCATGTCCTCGAAATCAAAAGCTAAAGCTATGTTCTTCATCTTTAAAATATTAATGTTAAACGCTTTGGCACCAATATATGCATGTGGTCCCTGCACTCCGCCACGTCATCACAAACGGCCACCGCATCATGGAGGAGGCCGGCCAAAAGTGTCCCCTCCTCTGCCGCCGATCATAATCAACCCTCCATCGGTACCCCCTCCGGTGGTGATATACCCTCCACCAGCCTCGCCCTCACCGTACCCGCCGCCGCACGGTGGTGGTCCTCCTCATCAACGCACTTGCCCAATTGATGCCCTAAAATTGGGACTTTGCTTGGACGTGCTTGGAGGATTGGTGCATGTGGGAATAGGGGACCCAATCGAGAACGTGTGCTGTCCCGTTATACAAGGGTTGCTTGATCTTGAAGCTGCGATTTGTCTTTGCACCGTTATTAGGGCTAAGCTTCTTAACCTTAATATCTTCATTCCTCTTGCACTTCAAGTCTTGATCACTTGCGGGAAGACTCCTCCTCCTGGTTTTGTTTGTCCTCCTCTGTGATAACCATAGTGCTCCATACTGAATGTATTACAAGGGTAGCTAGTTAGGGTTTGTTTTGAATAAGTTTTTTCTCTAAAGCATGCATAGAGAAAAAATAACAAGAAAAAAAAATGAAAATAAATTTCATAAGTTAAAATTAGTTTAGACATGAGTTAAAAAAAATATTTTGAAAAAGCTAATGTAAGAAAAATTTTGCAAATTGACTCGTGTATAACTAATTTTAATTTTTAAAGAAATTTATTTCATTTATTTTTCTTCTTCTAGAGCTGTTTCTATAACAGTTCATCCAAACAAACGTTGCTACTTACTACTGCATTAATATATTTTTCTCTTCTATTAAAGTTTTGGGGTTTAGACTTTAATTATGACAGTGCGTATGATTAACTGTTAAGTTTTCCTGACGGGTTTTTGTGTTCTAGTGTTTTTTTTTTTTTTTTTGATACAAAGTCTGTTTAATGTGTAATTCCCGTACTTAATCTACTTACTCGTTCTACACATGTCTCTCTCAGAACACATGCAAACACGTGCCAGGTTTACGTGAAAAGTATGTGTTTCATTTGAGAGGGTTCATTACATATGCGTAGGGTTTAAAGATTTATTTTTGCTGTTATATTTTTTCCTTTTATTTTGTGAGATATATATATTTTTCCTAGCTAGATTGGCGAAAATAGTTATATAATTTCCCTTACATACCATGTTTAAATTAATTTCCTTAACTTTTTAGAAAGGTTAATAAACATTTGGTGAATAACCTTATGCATCTGCAAATTTTTGTGAATTGTCCCAGTTTTCTGTTTATATATATATATATATATATATATAATTTGGATAGTTTAGACGTATTTGTGTTGAAAAATGGTTTGAGTTATAATTTGGAAAGGAAAAGTACTTGCATAAACGAGCACTACGAATTCATGGCAGGTACAATTGGTGTTGTTATTTTGCCTTACGCATCCATACAAGTATTCATTAATTTCTAACAGATGAATCCTAGCTTGTCGCTGCTGCCGCCAAATCAAATTACATTAATTTTGTTTACTTGTTGATCTAACCACAATTCGAATAGAGACGTCTTTAAATTGCTGCATTGCATCATTTGCATGTTATATTAATTTAAGCATTTCGTTATTTGTAAACTGTCATAATTGTCGTTCATTAAATTTTGTTATACCATTCCATTTTTAACAAGGATTGATCCAATTTTTACAGTGTTTTCTGTTGCATATGATTCTAAATTTCTAATCCCTTTAAAATTAAATGGGATAAAATGATGGTGTAGAAGATGTGAAAAAAGTGACTTTCCTATTCAGGACATATGCATACAGAATGCGATGTCAGAACAAAACATTGACGAGATATGGCCATATATAACGGCCAATTGGGAACATGATATAAGTTCTAATGAGAAAAATTATTTCTATACACCGTATTTGGATAATATCTTTTCACAGTAAAGAGAAAGATCAGAAGAGTACAATAAAAAAATGTGAGATAAAATAATTAATTATTGTGATAAAAAGAGAAAGAAAAAAAATAAGAATGTAAAGTGTTGTAAAAATAAATTACATAGATACAACCAGTATAGGACCAGATGAAAAAAGAAGATCAATAATGATCGAAATAAACTTTTATCGGTGTAGCAACCTGAGTTGCAATGGAAGACAATGAAAAGGAGAGTAAAGAAAAAACAACAACAATTAATGAAGTCGCAGTCAAATTTATTTAAATAAAAAAATTTGGAAAAATCTTATTATTGAGAAAAAGAAAGAAAAACATGTTTACAAGAACATAGTTAATAAGGAAGGGTGAGAACTAAATTCAACTACACGTCTAATTCATTCCTTAAATGGTTATCTTTGAACTAATTGCACAACTTATTGATGAGTTTTAAAATTTGTTTTAACTCTTTTAATTAATAAAACAAATAGACAATCAAAAGGAATATCCAACATTATATTTTTAACCCAGAAAGAAGAGTACAAGAAAAAGTTGTTTTTTTAAAGGGAAATATTTTAAAAATCTATTTTAATATCGACAAGGATGACACTCGCTCTTACATAACCTTCCACGCAATAAAGAATTCAAAAGTTACATAGTTCTTTGTTAACAAAAACAAATGTACATTGGATATTTTTTACAGTTTGACATCACTAAGTTGTCATAACTTGATTGTATCACGTTAAAACATAAGGTTAATAAGGTGTCATACCTAGGTTAACTATTTTTAATTTTATTTTATAAAAGAGATAATAAAAATAATAATCATAATAATTTTTTTAAAATAAAAAAGATGCAAAAATATCGAGCTATCACAACTCAGATGTTTTCACTTCAAATAATAGGATTAACAAAGTGCCACACCTAAATTAACCTATATTAATTTTATTATTTATAAGAAAATAATAAAGATAAAAGCTATACTAATTGATTTATAATAAAGAAGATGCAAAAGTTTTCAACTGTCACAACTCAAACATTTTCACTTAAAATTATAACATTAACAAAATGTCACGCAAATTAACCCATATTGATTTTATTTTATAAGAGAATAATAAGGATAATAACTATATTAATTTTTCTATGATAAAGAAGACGTGTAAACATCAGGCTCTCACAGCTCATATGTTTTGACTTCAAATTGTAAGATTAACAAGGCATCACTCCTAAATTAAATCGTATTAATTTTATTTTATAAAAAATAAAAAAGATGATAACTATATTATTTTTTATAATAAAAAAGATGCAAAAATACTAATTGTCACAACTCAAATGTTTTAACTTTTAAATATAGGATTAACAAAGCGTTATGTGAAAATTAATCCATATTACTTTTATTTTATAAAAAAGTAATAAAGACAATAAATCGTAAGTTGATTTATAATAAAGAAGTCAATACAAAAATATTAAGTTTTCACAACTTAGACAATTTCACTTCTAATTATAGGCTTAACAAGGTGGCATGCCTAAATTACTCCATATTAATTTTGGCTCAAAGAAATGAAATTAAGATAAGTAAATATAAACAAATAAATAAATAATTTCAACAACAACAAAAAATATATGAAAAAAAAACTTATTGGTTCAAGAATCCCATTCATCTAAAGAAACGAAACTATCACGATTTTTTTTAATTAATTATATATATATATAAGAAAAAGACACGAGTTAATTAGATGTGCAGGTGACAGAAAAATGTGAATTAAATATATTTTTTGTTTTCATAAGAGATACACAATAAATTAGAGATAAATATATGTAAAAGGAAAAGATTACAATTAGTTAAATAAATGCAACGACGTTGCTATTGAGTCAAACCTAAAATGTGCGAGGCTCGCATATTTGCATATAAAATAATAAAATAAAATTAAACAATAAAATTTAAATATGTTTTTAGTCCATTTAAGATAAACTTATTTTTAATTTCTCAAATTTAACACTGCTATTTTTAATTTTTATAAATTTTTTTGAGAGAAATTTCTATAATTTTTAAAAATCTTGTTTTAATATATCAAATCATCAATAATATATTTAAAAATAATAGATTGAGACAATTATGCACTATTAACTGAATTTAATTAATGTGATATTTTCACTCATAAAGAAATCAGTAAGTAGATTTTATGCGAGTGTTTGATAGATTTTTTAACAAAATTTGAATATAAAGAATAAAATAAATTTTTTTAAAATTATAAAAATTAAAATGATCAATTTTTAATTTAAAAAATTAAAAATAAATTTATCTTAAAATTTAAGAAACTAAAAATATATTTAAACTAAAAAATAATAATAAAAAATACTAGAGTTTATTCAAGTAATAGAATAATCAAAAGTAAGATTATGTTTATTAGGACTATCAAGCCACCTTTTTTACACTCGCATGTATGTTAAATGCAAAGCCAAAGCTAGATGATCAATATTAAAATAAAGTAAATAATGTATATTATAAGAGAAAGTGCAAATTAAATAGCATTTAACATTAGTGATTGAAATATATTCATCACTAACCTGCAATAGATGTAGTAATTGATTTATGATATTACTATTAAAGGTACTTAATGATTAATTTAGTGGTCATTGAAGGTTGATAATAACTTGATAGGTCATTCTATTTTTTTTTATTTGATTGTGTTTTATGAGCAGACATTTTGCGATAAAAGTAGCGACCAATTAACTTGAATTAATAAAAAATTATGATTAAATCGAATTCAATATTTAAATAAGATATTTTTAATATAAATAGTCGATTATAATTCGGTACTAATAAACATAAGATCGATCAACATTAAACGATTGAATTGTATTCAATCTCAAAACATTAGTTAAACTTAGCAACCAAATTGTATTTGGTTGCTAAATAAAAGAAAACTAATTTGATATAAATGGGTGAAAATGATGACATATTATTGGTATATATTGATTCCATTTCCTTTTTAGTAAAAAAAATCTAAATCATTAAACAATGATTTTATCAATTTATAATAAATAATATATATACTCATTCTTATATATTAATACCAATAGTTATATTGTGCAATCAATTTTTGGAGGGTTCTTTTTAATGATTGCATTTTTAGACTTTTTTTAAATTAGAGTATATGGATTTTTTTATCTTTCTTATGTATTTCAACTTCTATTTATAATATATATTTATAAATTAAATTTAATAATTTTAAAATAAATTAAATAAATAATTTTATGTCATAATATAAATTGGGTTTTATTAAATATTGGTTTAATTTATATATTGAAATGTATGATAATTGTTTATACAAATAATTTTAGCAATATTTAACAATATACATTCTATTTCAACAATCCAACAATTAATTAAAGGCTCTTTGTGTATAGGTGTTGTGTATCTATATATATATATATATATATATAAAAGGAGAGATCTACCTACATGAAAAACAAATCTATCTAAATTTATTCCACTCAATAATTTATAAGTTATATCAAATTTTAATAATTCAATTGTTGAATTAAAAATTATTAATGCATAGATTAAGTCTACAAATTATAGAGAAATTTGAAAACTATTTCATACTTCATTTCATTAATTCAAATCAACGTATAA